ACCCGGGCGCTAGGGGGGAATTAGAAACTGCTCTAGAAGGATTTTAAACAACTGGCTGTTCCCTCCGCCGCCGCCCCGCCCCCCGCGCCGCCCGCGCCCGGCTCCTCACTGGAGAGAAGGCGCGGGGAGGAGGGGAAAGTGCGGCCTGGAGTGCCTGGCGGCGGCTGCGGAACGGGAGTCGCGGCGGCCCCAGACTTCGGGGCGCCCGGCGGGTCCACAGACAGACCCGACCCACGGACCCAGCCCCCCCCCCGGGGGGGCCCCCTGCAGGCTGCTCTCCCCCCACCCCACCCCCGCTCCTCTGCAGCCTGACACCCCGCGCCGGCCCCCTCGATGGATCTCATCCCTGCTCTCTGGGGTGTCGCCCTCCACCCCGCGCCCCGCTCCCGGAGGGCCAGCCAGCAGGCCTGGGGGGGCGGTGTTGGGGGGGACGCCGGCTCTGAACCCTCGACCTTCCGACCCAGGGACCCAGCGACTCTCCCCCGGGAGGCGATGGACCACCACCACCCCCACGCCCCGGGTGCCCGCCCAGGCGGTGTCGCCGGCTCTGAGGCCGAGCCCTGCGTCCCGAGGGAGCACCCTACCCGGTGTGTCAGCCTCCTTTCCAAGAGGGGAGCACACCATCCCCAAAGAGGCCAAGGGACCGAGTCCTGGGACCTCGGCGGCCCACGGCCTTGGCCCCTGCCTCGGCAGGACCCGGCTCAGGTCTGCGGCAGCCCCGCGGCCCAGGCAGGCTCTGCTCGGCCTGTGTTAATAGTTTGGGTGGGCAATGTCATTTCAGTTTGACCCCTGGGCTGGAAGGAAGCAGAGAAGGCCCTGGAAGACATCCCTGTACTTGCCCAGCAGATCAGGCCGCCCAGCTCAAGGGGTGCAGAGCTGTGCCCGAGCTGAAAACTCCCCGAGAATATTTTTGGATCCAAGTCCCTAATCTCATTTCAGTGGATGCGCAAAAGTTTCTCAAGACACACGCAACCTGGTCTCTGATAGACTCCATCCTTTATTTTGTCGGAGATCCTTGGCTGTAAAATCAGACAGGGTGGAAATCGGGTTGGGAGAAGAGATGAGCTTCCAATGGGAGATGACAGGGGAAGAGAGGTGCCATTGGGGTAGGACAGGGAAACCTCAGAAAAGGATGAATAGAGGAGGAGGGACAGTTATGCCACAGGGAAGGAAATAGCATTCAAATGAGGAAGCCTACCTTTCTATTGCGCGCAGCTTTAAGCATTTAGCAGTAGGATCATAAAAATGCATATGGAGATTCGGAGAGAGATGGAAAGGAAAGAAATGGAGTTTGTGAGCGCTGATAGCTCGGGACAGAAATAAAACAGAAGGTTAAGGAAGGGCAGTCGGTGGGGAAGAGGTGGGGAATCAAAACGGGTTGGCAACCCAACATCAATCAAAGACGGGAGGGGGGGTGAAGACGGACTTCCACTGCTGTTAAGGAAAATGAAGGGGGAAGTCTAAAAAGGGAAAGAAGAATAGTAAAAGAGTTCATGGAGAAGGTATGAGCTTGACAAAAATAATAAAGGGCAGACATGGTTTTCAAAAATATACATTTCTAATAGAAGGAACAATCGTTAAGCCAATAAAAGAATATAAAGTATAAAAGGTGACATTGGCTTAACTAGATTACCTCCAAAGAGAAATAATTTGCCATTTCAAACTCTAAAATTTCCCTTTCTGTTTCAAATGGCCCACAGTGGTGGCTGAGATACGGCTTGCATGTTCTCCCTTCTGGTTCTAATAACCTAGAGCGATTTGGTGCTTGGAACATTACATTCATGGACTGAAGAACTAGAAGAAATGAGACAGGGCCAGCCAGCAATCATCTCTTCCAAAAAACTTGATCAAAACCCTCCAATGTGTGTAAAGTTGCTACTGTTTACAAACACGACCTCTGAGGCTAGCCTCGTGGAATTGTTATCCAATTGTTATCCAACGATCTTCTATTAGCTTTACCCCCAGAAAATGATTACCATCTCAAGGCTCTGTCAACCACGCAACACTTCATATGTGATATTGCTCAGATACCGTCAAGAAGAGACCTCTGGCAACTGCTGAACTACTTTCAGGTCCACAACCGTGTCAAAGCGTTTTACTATCAAAGGTGGTTAACCTCACCAGGACCGATATTCCTGACCTTCCCTCTCCCACTTTGTACCAGCTAACCTACCATGTCAGACTGGGAACCAGCACCCGAGAGAGAATGAGATGCAGCCACCATCTATCTACGTCAAGGATAAAAGATGGGGGCCATCTTGGCCAAGTATACTGCTACTTGGTAACTCCTCATTTGGGGATCAATGGGGATCATAGCACATCCTTTTTACAAGAGAGAGAGAGAGAGAGAGAGAGAGAGAGAGAGAGAGAGAGAGAGAGAGAGAGAACCTTGCCAGGTAACTTTCACTTTGCTCAAGGGTTTCTTTCAATGACACAGAGATTAAACCAAGGGAAAGGTTTAATGAAACTGAAAATGGTCTTTGTACTGTGAAAACAAAAACAAGACAATGAGCTATCATTCTAAAACTGGTGTTGAGATCCTCTTATCTGTGTTTGTTGGTTTGCAGAATGACCATATCAACCTTGGGCTGAAAGCAAGCACTTCCAAATGATCCTTATGTATAAGAAGGGCTGCCGACTTCAGATGGGCAGTCCAAGCTTAAAGCAAGAGCTTTAGGTTGTGGTGGTATATTGCAGATGACCCTTCTCCTATAAGGCATTCAGTTATCCTTACAGTGCACTTGATTCTCTACCTCCAAGCCAAGAGTCGTTAACAGGATAACAATGTATGGCCGTCTATGCTGTGTTCTGATAACACAGGACCACAAAGCATTTCAGCTGCCTTAATGTGTCCTAAAGAGAAAAGAAAATGAAGAAGGAAAATTGGAGACACTGCTGTCTGTTGCTGTAATTCGTTCATCTGGTTGGTTTTTACCCAAATTTGTCACATTAGAGAGTCCTGTGGATAATGGCATGTTTTCTGATATTTAAACACTAAATTACAGATCTGCACAGTAGGATATAGGATTCAGAACAATTTGGTCTTAGTATCTAGGAAGAATAAAATGTGAAAAGGTCTTAGTTCAGAACTTACCAAATGAATGCCAGTTACCACTCCAAGAAATGTAAGTGACTTTTATATGCATGCGTGCCTATATATGGTGACCTTGGAGCTTAAGTAATCAAATCAATTATCATTAAAACCTCTCAGCAGCTACCTGAGCCATCACTGTGCTACTCCTCTCTAAATGTTTACACATGTAAATAAAATGCTTCTTTGCCCTTGTTCAAATTATTTTGAGTACAAAGAGTGTTCTTTGCAGCTGTACCTCTTGGGACCAATATTGTAATTAATGTGATTTGAAACACATATTCAGAGCCAAATTTGAGATCCCAGACACAGGGTTGAAGATCCAGTGTCTTGTTCTCATTTTTTAGAAAAGAAGGAAGAGATTAGAAATTGAAAGCTTTATAATGTACAGAGTATCATGATACACTCTGAACGATGTTTTGTAAACCCCATAAGTGCTTGGTTAATTTTAGGAAACTTGAATTTGAATAAGGGAACACTGACCAGCTCAGCCACCCAAAATGGAACTTTTACATTTGAGGATAATTATTTAAGCCATATCCTTTCAGACATAGACCATCAGTGATAATCATTACATCCCTACACATACATCCTATTTTGTTTGGGCACATTTGCACAATTATCTTATTCTAGAAGGCCTTCATTAGTTTAAAACAGGAAACTGTTTCTACTTTACGCTGACTTTATATTTCTTTTATACTAATATTGTCTTTAAAACATTAAGGTTAATAATGCCTCCATTCTCACAATTCACAGAATCCCAGGAAGGATTTTCTTGTGTCATCAATAACAAAGAGATGACCTCTTGATGTTTAAATGCAACTGATAATGAATTTAATTATTTGCATCATGTAAAAAACTTAGCATATTAACTTAAACCTTTAACACTGAAAATATTTATTTAAGAAAAATAAAAACATTTTAACAATGAAGTTGAAATGGGGGGGGGGTAATTTTTCCAAAAGACAAAACTGTTCTATTTGTTTTTCATAAAACTAGTTTATAAAAATAACTCAGTTGTGCTCATATAATTTTCCATCTCAAAACATTTCATTTGTTCATTAGTACTCAATATATCCCAGTAAATCACGTTTGTACAACCTGCTTTCTAAACCGAGTAAACTGAGTCCTGACAACAATTTGTCTGCATGGCCCGAGATACTAAACAAACAAAACTAATTCCAATAAGAGAACTCCATGTCCCTGGCTGAGCATTCCCAGACCACAAAGCCACGCCTCTTTCTCTCCAGAGTGACTATTCCACAGAGGAATGTGAGCAGACGCTGAGATGTTTGTCACTCAAACTACCTTGTGAAAGTTCACCCCGGGGCAAGGGGGCAGCAGGCGGGGATTCACTAAGTATCCAAATGCCAGGGACCCGAGTAAGGAGGGGAGAGACGGCAGTGCTGATACTGTGCGATTCAGTCCTTCAGACAAGAATGAGATAAAAAGAGCTACCAATTAACATTTCACACACCGATAGTGGTTTAACGTTTGCTAATCTGAGGCAATGGCTGTTTATTTAACCTATTGCTCTGGGTTTTTAAAATTCCGACTTACATATTCATAAACAGTTACCAATGGATTTGACGAGAATGAGGTCCAGATCTACCAGCCCCAACAGTTCCGTTCTACTAAACCTAGTCTTTTTTTAAATATTTATTTAATTTTTATTTATATGTGTCTGTGTGTGGCTATGTGCATATAAGAGCAGATATTCATAGATGGCGGAAGTGTTGGACCCCCCTGGAGCTGGAGTTCCAGCAGTTCTCAGCCATCTGACATGCCTGCTGGGAACTGAATTTACATCCTCTCCAAGAGAGGTACCCATTCCTAACCACTGTGCCACCTCTCCAACCCTTGCCTAGTCTTTCTTAATATCAGCAACAATCTGAAATTTGGTAACTTGAAATAAAATAATCCTGTTACAAAACATGACACATAGCCTGAAGATGAGGGAAATTTTTTTTTTTAATTAAAACCTATACTACCATGTATGGCAATTTCATACACTTTAGCACATTTCGCAAAACAATTTCCAAGTGTTACAGTGTTCGCTAGCTGGAGTTTGTCATTAAATGTTGAGAGTTATATGATAGGAAACGTGCCAAAGAGTGTTCCTGATTCAACGATGTTACTGTATTTTTTTAGTGCATTTCTAGATCTTCGCAATGATTTTTTTTTTAACCTGGTAAGGTCATTGGCATAGCATGTCTTTGCATACATACTTGGAGCTATCAAAAGCCCCAGTATTGGCCGGGCAGTGGTGGCGCACGCCTTTAATCCCAGCACTCGGGAGGCAGAGGCAGGCGGATCTCTGTGAGTTCGAGGCCAGCCTGGTCTACCAAGTGAGTTCCAGGAAAGGCGCAAAGCTACACAGAGAAACCCTGTCTCGAAAAACCAAAAAAAAAAAAAGCCCCAGTATCGATAGGAAGACTGTTCCACCATTGAGGCAGTATGCTCCCTTTTGTGGGAAATGGAAATATGGGAAGGGGGAATGACAGATTATCTCATTCTTATGTCTTACTTACTTAGCTATAGTTTAAGAAAGATACTATACCAAATAAACTCTACTTAGCATTGCCTATCATAAACAATCTTATTTTGGCCATATATACTTGCCAGAGATATAGAGAGCACTTCACAATATTTTGGGGTTCTCAGGCAAGTGTTTGAAGAGCTAGGAGTGTAGCTTGGCTGGGAGAATGCTGGCTTGACACACAGGAAGCCCTAACCTTGATTCCCAGCACTGCACAGATCAGGTGTGGTGGGCACACGTCTATAACCCCAACACTCCGGAACTGGAGGCAGGAAAATCAGTAGCCCAAGGTTATCTTCAACTACATAGCCAACTCAAGGCCGGACTGGGCTCTGTGAGAGCCTGTCTCAGATTAAATAAATAGATGAATCTCTGAAACCAATTGGGTTGCACTCTATGCATCACAGTAGAGTAACACTCCAGAGGACATGTGCCTGTTCTGTGGCACTGATTACCACTCCTCAGAATTATCACGTAGCTTTAGGTGATACCGCATGGTTTCTTCATCAATTCCCATCATTTCATTGTCATTCCATGGACCTTTTCTCTTCAACCTGAAGTCTTAATGGGGGTGGGGGTGGGGGACAGAGGGGCCCCTGCCATCTGGGGGCCCTGACGATCTGAAGCTCTGACAAT